TGAAACCTAAAGTTGTTCTGAGTTTTTGATTATTCTAAGTTGAAGATTTTGATCCATTTTAATAGTAACATTTCATATCTGTTAGTGAGAGATCAATGCAAGTTCAGCCTTTATTAGTTAGGAAAAAACCCCAATAAACCCAAAACCCAGGTTCCAAGAATAGCAGAGTGAAATCCTTAAGAAAATGCAACTGTGTGAGAAGCAAAGGCTTGTCACCTTAAATGTTGTCACCTTTTCATGTTATTATTAATCAAAAAATTGTATGCACATAAGCCTCATAAATGTTATTGGAAAGAATTATGGAAAAACTGAGATAGGTGGAAAAGTATGATAACACTCCCCACACCCCTAACCTTGTCACAGTCCCAGGGAAGAGGTGTCCTTAGTTCCTTCACTCAACAATGAACTATTCATGAGACCCAATACAACTAGGTATTCCTTTATTGAAAACAGCTGACCCTCAAATTTGGTGACTGTACATTCAGTTGTTTATATGTATACAATAAATGGCTTTAATTATTATTTGTGAATAAGGAAGGTGCTATCAGATAATCTTATTCCCTCTGACAATTTGCAATCTAAAAAATGGTTAAAAATTAACCCCCAACTATATTTAAAAAAATAGTATTTTAAATATAATAAGGGCATGAATTAAGGCAGCAGGGAAAGTGTGAAAAAGCAAATGAATACTGTATAAAGTATGTATTAGTAATTCTTCAAAGAAGGATAATTATATTACACATTCTTTTCTAATATTTTATTTAAGGAGACTTATATTCTACCATTTTTTAAATAAGAAACTTTCTGCTATAATGAAAATAAGCTAAAAATTTTATATATTTTTTTCTTTGTATTAGTAATGTTAGTACAGTAAGCTCTAAGAGTAGTTACATGTATGGACAAGAGGCACGTGTACATTTCTTTATTTAAGAAAAAAAAACACATTGAAGAAAATTTGTCAAATAAAGAAAAATATATCACAAATAGTGCCATCAACCCAGTATAAATGCTGTTAGTATATTGGTATAACATATAGCCTCTTTGCTTTTTTTTTTTTTTTTTTTTGAGATAGGGTCTTGCTCTGTCTTTTGGGCTAGAGTACAGTGGTGTCATCATAGCTCACTGCAACCTCAAACTCCTGGGCTCAAGCAATCTTCTTAACTCAACTTCCCAAGTAGCTGAGACTACAGGCACGCACCATGATGACCATTCTACTTTTTGTAGCAATGGGGTCTCGCTTTTGCTCAGGCTAGTCTCAAACTCCTGGCCTCAGGTGATCTTCCTGCTTCAGCCTCCCAAAGTGCTAGGATTACAGACATGAGCCACTGCTCATGGCCCTCTTTGCATTTTTAAACATAGTTACAACAACTTTTAGAACTTGCTAATACATACACTGTGTTATCTCACAGTGTATGATTATGGCACGTGATTATTGTAAAACAGAAGATATATTTTTAAAAAATTAATTTTAAATATTCACTTAAAATTTAAAATGAAGCATTGTTATTTTTAGGTACTAAAGATAAATTTCTTGGCTCATTGCCTTTTTTGATCAACCTTTTATGAGCATCTAAGTCTGTGCATATCAATCTTTGATTTTATAAGTGTGATAATTAATTGAACAGCTCAAAATTCATTTCCAAATTAGTTTAAAGATGAACTTTGTGAGATTTCTCCTATATTTCTTCTTATCTCCATTTTTAGATATGCAGAATTTTGTATGTGTTTTGGTTACTACTGATTTTTTTTAGAGTAGAAAAGTATAGAAAAAAAGAAAAGGGAAGGAAGTAGGTTGGGAAGCACTTCCTTAAAGAACAGCCCTGTATACATTTTCCCGGAACACTCTGCCGACTTGACTCCTGACTATGCTCTGCACTTGTAGTGGTCTGTTCATATATTCACCCTGAACAAGGTCTTCTAGAACAGAACAATGTTTTACTCTATACTGCTTCCCCAAGATCTAGCAAAGTTTACAGCACATAGTAAGCACTTAAGGAACACTCACTCAAATGAAGGAGAGAGAAAAATATGTATATACACCAAGCACAAGATATTTTTAGCCATAAGTTACAGAATATCAACTCCAAGTGGCTTAAACAATAAGGACATTTTCTATTTCATATGACACAAAGTTCAGAGTCAGGGCAGTTCCAGTGTTGGTTATGCAGCTGAACAGTGTCATGGAGGACCCAGATGTTTTTCATTTTTGTTCTCAGTCATCCTCAGCATTGGTGATTTCTTCTGCTATAGTTGCAAGATGGATGTAGGAGTTCCAGATGTCATTTGCAAACATGACCACATCCAACAAAGATGAGGCAGTGTTTTCTCCTGTATATCTGTTTATTACAGAGGAAAACCTTTCACAGTTGCTTCTAGTTGACTTCCATTCAGGTCTTACTGGCTAGGATTGGTTTATAAGCCCATGCCCTAGCTGACAAAAGCTATTGGGTAGACACCAACAGTAACCTGTTGCAGAAACACCAGAAGAAGCAATAAAAGGAAAAAGGAGAAAGATATGTCATAGAAAAAAGAGTAATGATATAGGCAAGATGAAATAATCTGTAGTATGTGCAATATATTAATAGTACAGTATACATTATTTAGGCCTATTGTATTCTCACCTGTACATATACTACCTTATAGCTAATATATATATGAAGCTAGTATCACTTATTAATATAAAATATTATTTCTAAGTAATAATGTGTGCTACTCAAGAGCAGATCCTGATTTTATAGGATCCTATACATCTGGAGATGTAAAGTATGTGAAATTGCAAGTACAAAATTGCTAGGCCCAGTTTAGGTCCTTGGAAATTTCATTACTGTCACAGCAAATCTCTCTCCAGTGCCATCCCCAGCCTTCCCCATGTTTAATATCACCACTGTGGAGGGAGGAGAAAACAACTTAGGAGGGGATTGGGTAATAAGTCAGAAGAATAGAATTTGTTTTATTATCATTATTATTATTATTCTGGGGAAGGAGGATATGGCACTCTAACAGTTATTCAAGGAAAAGATCAAATATATGGGAATTGTAGATAATAGATGCTTTTACAAAAGAACTTTGAGTTTTTATTAATAGCACTTTTAAACAACTGTTGTTTACTGCATATTATCTACTCTTAGAAACTGTATAAAAGTGCAAATGCATGAGTAGATGAACTAATCCTTATAATCTCGTAAAACAAAATATTCAGCTCAATACATATATATTTTTGGTGTGCTTAAATAGGTACATATAAAGTTGTTACCATACTACACTTGTATAATTTGGATTGAATTGAATTCTGAAGTAACATGTTAACAATTAACAGAAAATATGAGTATATTTAGAAATTACATACAACATTTTGTATTTTCTTCCCATTTCCTTTGGGTTGGTTAGGGGGTGGAGTGGGTGCACAGAAACAGTGATCACCTATTTCACTTGCTATCTTATTGTTCTTCACACTATTGTAGTAGCATCCCAGAGACTGCTTCTGAGAAACTTGTTATAATGCTAGCTTGATAGTCCTCTGTTGCTGCTATTGTCTTCTTTTTTAAAAAAGCCATTCTCCTCTTATTTACCTCTGCTTCTTGAGATTGCATATAAACTTCCCATTGTATACCTTATTTCACACCAGATTTTGAAAATTGAATCATATATTTGCTAATGAATATAGTGTTAATTTGCAGAAGTGTGTCATCAGCACCAGAGTTGAATGAGCCTGCTACATAATAGCCTTCTATTAATACTTGTTTAATGAAAAAAATGAATGAATGGTTTATATAATATTGGGACTTCTAAGATAATTTTGCTAATTTAAGGAAAGCAAATATTGGACACCAACTTACATTTGCTAACATTATTTTCGTTTAGAAAAAAGGGATATTACCAATATTTTTAAAAATTAAAGCGTATTTTCTTCAAATTAAAGACTGAGTACAAAAGTGATCCATGTCACCAAAAATATTTGTACCCCCTTAATATTTTGTAATTAAAAAAAGACTAAGTGATATGCTGAATAGATATCTTAGTTTGACAATTAAGACATTTATATATTGCAAGGTACTACAAATCTTGGAAAATAAGAACATAAATTGAAAGGAAGAGATACAGAAAAGAGTGTATGTGATTCATTAAGAGAGGCCAGTGAACACAATAAAAGTAGAATTTGTAACTATGTGTGGTGCATATACTTCTCAAAAGACATTTTTTACATATATATCATATGAGTCTGCCTGCCTGTCTCCCATTATCTATTATTTAAAATGTGTTAATTTTACAGCTGTTATTCTTGGACATACAAGTAAATCAACATGTTTTGTGTATTTAAAAGATATTTACTTGCTTTCTATCATGTACATGGTTAAGATAAATTTATTCCTTTATATAAAATTAGCATTTATATATAAAAATATTGGCCAATTGTAGATCTCATTTTTGAAAGTGTTTTTATATGTATTAATACAATGAAATGCAGCTTTTTATTTTGTATGAAGTTTTAAAAAAAATCTTCTTTTAAAATCTTACAAGATGAAAGGAATTTAAAAATCAACATTATTGGCACAAGATTCATGTTAATGTTTACTCACGTAAATAGCACAAAATACTGCCTAATTAGTGTGGTTGGTAAATTTTTGGTACTTTAATTTTCTCTGTTATTGTAAACCATGCATAAAATGCTTGCCTATTGAGAGGTGCAGAATTGTCAGAGCTTAAACAGCTGACATCTGCTTACTCTCTTAAAAAAAAAAAAAAGAATAACAAGCCATTTCAGCCTAATCTACCTCAAATGTGTTCATGTAAATGGAGGTCCATCTATTGACCTGTGTTCTTTTCAGCTCAGGATTGGTCCACATGGTTTATGAAACCAGGACGGCTGATTTGAAATGCAGATGTCGAGAGAGTGAAGTACACCCTCCCCTTTTTTCTTTGCTGTATCTGTCAGGGTGAAAAATGGCTTGCACAAGGGTCAGTCACCCATACTCACTTAATTACTTTTCTTGGACCCACAGAACTGTCACAAGCTGTGGTGGATGCGGGAGCTGTTCCTCTTTTAGTACTCTGTATCCAGGAGCCAGAAATTGCTTTGAAAAGGATTGCTGCTTCAGCCCTCAGTGATATTTCAAAGCATTCTCCAGAGTTAGCACAGACAGTAGTGGATGCAGGGGCTATTGCTCACTTAGCCCAGATGATCCTCAACCCTGATTCTAAATTGAAGGTATTTAAAACTAAGGTTAAAAACTAAACAAACTAGCCTTCTTATAAGGTAAGAAAATGGAAATGTGTACAGATTAGTACTACACATCTAAAAACAATTAGTAAATTATCATTGAAAACAGATATAAATATTTATTTGTTTTTTTTAAATGTGAAAATGCTATAAGGATTAGAAAATAAAGGTGTGATTGGGAAAACTGTGCAATATTGAAGATTAGAGGTAGCATCAGTGTTTACATTAATAATTAAAATAAGGAATAACATAATGATTAAATCTCAGAGTTGGAAGGCACCTTAAAAGTTTTTTAACCTACCACTGTAATATTTAAGTTTCTTATGAAAATTGCCATATTTGTATTAGTCTTTTTTATAGCTTAATAAAATCTGATTTTCAGTTAATAATCAGCAGTTATACTTTTATATTATAGTAGGTATATTCTATAAAGTTTTTAAATTGTTCACATTAACTAAGCAATGGAAAGTTCTTTGAAATGGTAACAGTATCATGCCAAAAATAAAATGTTAGTTCTGCTTGATCATTTTTGTACTAAATTATGACATGTATTATAAATTAACAATTTAAGTATTGCATAATTAAGAAATGGTATTCATCCAAGGGTCGTATTATTTAATCATCTGCAATAGATAGAATTTTAAAAGTCAATAGAGAACTAATTTGGGAATTTTTAAAAATTGAGTATAAGACTAGGATGTGAATGTCTCAAGATTCAGAAATCTTAAGTTATGTTAGATATGAAATTCTTTTCCTTTTTATAAAGCAATTTGAGTATATATAAAAGTGTTTAAATTACATCTGAACTCTGTAGTGTACTCTACCTAATGTCTTGTTTTGTCTTTCACTTAACAGCGTCAGGTTCTTTCAGCTCTCAGTCAGGTTGCAAAACATTCTGTGGATCTGGCAGAAATGGTCGTTGAAGCAGAGATTTTTCCAGTTGTACTTACCTGTCTGAAGGACAAAGATGAATACGTGAAGAAAAATGCTTGTACTTTAATTAGAGAGATTGCAAAACATACACCTGAGGTGAAAAAAAACCTTCAAGATACAATAATATATAGTAGTTTTAGTTTTTAAATAAAACATCAATTTGTTTATAGGGCCCAGGGTTTGTGCCACATGACCTAGTTAGGTCAGGGATTCTTATCCTCAGCACTACTGACATTTGGATTGGGTATGTCTTCTTCGTCATGGTATCTTGTGGTGAGCTATCATGTACATCATATAATAGATGTTTAGCAGCATCCCTAGCCTCTGCCCACTAGATGCCAATAGCACCCCTCTCCCCCAAGTGGTGACGATCACAAATGTCTCCATACATTGCCAAATGTTCCCCAGGGAGCAAAATTGCCCCCAGTTGGGAACCACTGGGTTATATTAATGAAGTTTAAGTTTGAAATCTCAGATTCTAATCATTTCTAGCTCTCCATTTCTGGACTGTGGGGACTGTGGGCCTTTGTCATCCTTACCATTTTATGTCAGCTGGGAGTAGTGAGAATGATATTCTACCTCCAGGTTGGGAAAGACCAGAAAGGTCCCCTGGCCTAGCATGGCGACTGTAGTGTAGGTGCTCTTACATAGTGACTTCTTGCTCTGGTTCTTAGATGGGAAAGAGAGAGAGACAAAACAAGCCGGTGTTGATTCTGAAGTTGTATCTCTCTTCTGTGTATATTTTGACTAACAATTTTCATTTCATTAAAGTCCTCATTCTTTATTTCACCTAACATCTTTATTTGGTAGAGATTTTTCAAAATTGAAGTGCATTCAGCTAGTGATCATTACTAGCAAAGGGGGGGATAATTAGGTTAGAATATTTCAAGTCTGACATTGTCTTTCAGCATTCAGTGATTAATCTGCTACATATCCACCCATTGTGATTGGGGGTTTCAGTAGTTAGCTAGTTATGAACTAGCCCTAGGCTTAGTGTCTAGGTGAGGAATTTTGACATCCATTATAATAGGGATAAAAGTTGTGCCATCGATGCATGAAAAATTGAAACACAGAGTAAAGCTCCTCACAGTATATTTGTGCACTTAAAATAGCAGGATTATTATACTGGTATATTGTTTTAATAAGTATAATAATTTTACCAAATCATATTTCAATTTTACCAATTGTTTTTAGGCCCTAAATAAAGTGTGGTGATGCTAAACTAACATTTAAAGATCATCTTATGCTTGGTGGTCCTGATTAGCTAGCTCTCATTCTTTTCTCTTAGCTTTCACAGCTGATAGTGAACGCAGGAGGAGTTGCTGCTGTGATCGATTGCATCGGGTCCTGCAAGGGGAATATAAGGCTGCCTGGCATCATGATGCTTGGTTATGTGGCGGCTCATTCTGAGAACCTAGCAATGGCAGTGATCATTTCCAAGGTTTGTTCATGCTTCATTTTCTTCTAGTTACTGTAGTGAGGTATTCCAAGACAGAATTACAGATTAATACTCTCCCACAGAATATAAAATATAACTGGAGTAGAACAAAAAAATTATCTAAATTTTTTTTTATTATGTCAATGGCTTATTAGCAAGTTTCCCAAAGCAATCCTTGAAGAGTAAGGTTTAGGTTACAGGAAGTTTAATTCAATGTTTAATATGAACAAAATATGAACTCTACTGAGTATTAGTTTTATCTGTATTTAAATACTAAATTTATTTGTATCTTAAAGGATTAATTGTACATATTTACAAACATGTAAAGCATAATTTGATTAAAAACTATTATAAATGACATGCCCAGTAGCCATTTTCACTATTCTCAGAGGTCTATACATTCCTTCCTTTCCTGTCATTTGGGTAGGAGATGATGATGGCCAGGACATCCTGTTTTATGCATTTTTCTCTCCTTCAGTTTTTACAAACTAATTTCTCTCCTTAGATGTAGGCAATTTGGAGCGCACATCAGATAGTGGTGCTTTTGTTTCCTTGCTCTAGAGATTTTGCCTTAATTCACAGCTTCGTGGGAACCATGACATAGTGCAGCTCTGGTACATAGTAGGTGCTCACAAAATATATGTTGATGAGTAAATATTGACCTCCTGAAGAATGTTTCAGAGGCTGTGGGTTTACAGTGTGTGTGGTGACCCTCTGGAGTGTGAGTTTCTTATCAGCATAGAAAACCTGCTGCTGCATGTTAAACAGAAATGTGGATTTTTTTAGTCGCTTGCTAATCCTCAGAATAAAAAGGAGGCTCAGATCTTTATTTTCTACCTATTCCACGATAATTCTTTGCTTTGCTCCCTTTATCTTGCTCTTTCCCTTTTGTTATTCCATTACCATAGACCGTGATAGTGACTGGAGCAGTAGTGGTGCTTTCTGCAAGGGTGTTACTGGATTTTGATCCTTGGTTCTTTTGTGGATAGTCAGAAAGCTTACACATAGCAAGAATGATGAAAGAAGAAGAGGTTGTTTTTGCTTCCTATGTTTTTTCCTCAGACTAACCAGAAAGCCCTTCTTTGATCTAGGGTTGCTGCTGCCCCCCTCAACTTGGTTGTTTTTCAGTTAGTTGGATATCAAGGTAGCTCAGCAGTTTGAGGCAAACCCCACAGTAGTATATAGCACTCTCTCCTTTTCCTGTGTCGTACTCTAAAGGACTAACAACAATACCTTACATTTAAATAATACTTTATAGTTTTGGAAGCATGTTTATGTTCCTTAGCTTACCATAACAATTATTCATAACAACTGAGGCCAGCAAGTCAGAGCTCTGGATGGGGTGGAGGAGCTGTCTCCTCCTCCAACTTCTTCATTCTCGTTATATCCTGCAAGTATGGGCTTTCTGGAAAGTTGCTTCATTCTGAAGACAGATCTGACCTTTTGTATTGGCAGACATACATTTTTAGTTGTAGAAAAGAAGCCAATGAAGAAATATGGCAGGTTTCTTCAGGAACTAGTCTTAATAACCAAATTAAAAGGTGGAGAAAAAGAGTATCTGTGATGATTTTGGCCTTTGCTGTGGTGACATGACAATGTTATACTGTTTTGTGTGGCACTAAATTTAAAGTGATTACTTATAATCTCAAATTAGTTAGAGAATTATGCCTATACAGAATCTGGAATTAGAATTTGATTTGGTTATTTGTTTCTTCTTTGAGTATATAAACTATGGTGTATTTGAGGCCTTTTAGTTAATTCTGTTTTTATTATTTAGATAAAATTGAAGCCTAGGACGCAAAATGTAAGCACACGCTATCTGTGTAACACAAACAATCATTTCTACTTTGAGGTTAAATCATGTTAAAATGGGCAAAATTGTAGTTTAAAAGTTGACTAAAATTAATGAAAAATTATTTATGTGCTTCAGTAAAGGTATTAGTGAATATATTTCATCTAAAAGACACTTGTTCTTACTCATATTATTTATTTGATTTGAATCTATAGTAGTTATTTTGTTTTCAGATTTATTATACTTGGCGAAAAGACTTTCTTTAAAGATTCTAAATTAACTTTTGTAACAAAGGAAAATAAAAGATTTTAAAATCCTAAATATTTTTAGCTTATCATAGTAGAATCTGGCTTTGCCTATTTCCTAGTCTGTGGCATCTATTATTTGGTTAAATGCCTCCTATTTGGGGGGGTAAAAGCTAGTAGAGATATTCTTACTTTAGTTGGATTGTTACAGATAATTAAGGTAATTTAACTCTAGTCATTTTATTGACTTAAGAAATGACAGCCCCTGTGATGTGCTCATTTATTGAACCGTTTAGGAAAAAAGGGATCAAGGCCGAAATGATTTCTTCTTATGTTTGAGAGACACGGAAGACTCTTTAATCCTGCTCTAGATTCATAACACTTGCTCTTTTGATCAACGCTGCAGGGTGTACCCCAGTTGTCAATCTGCTTGTCAGAAGAGCCAGAAGATCATATTAAGGCTGCTGCTGCTTGGGCCTTAGGACAGATCGGGAGGCACACTCCTGAACACGCACGGGCTGTTGCAGTCACAAATACTTTGCCAGTTCTGCTTGCTTTGTACATGTCAGCAGAAAGTTCTGAGGATCTTCAAGTAAAAGTAAGTGCTTAATTCCTAACTGTTTTATGCAGATTTATTAGATTTTGACTTATTTTTAAAAATATATAATTTAAAATATTTTAACTTTCATTATGGACATTATTGCTATTATGAGTGAAGAAATTCAAATTTATCAGAAGAATTGAGGTCACTTTTCTTTGAAAATGGATTACCTTTGTCTCTAAAAAGCAGTAATATATTTAAAGAAAGTTCTCTACAGGTGCAAAGTTGTTTATAAAATGAATGTCTGGTTATTGCATTCTATATTCCTATTGACTTTTCTTATGGAATTAGAATTGAAGAATAATAGAATTTATGAGTTAGAATTTGCTGAAGAGAATTATAGTCCATTTTACATGAAAAAATTGAGTCCAAAAGAATTTAAGGTATTTTCCAAAGGTATAATGTAGCTAGTCAGAGAGTATTCCTGAAGCCATAATTTACTTCTCTTAACTCTAAGGCTGCCTGATCTTTTAATTATATGTCTTATATTTGTTCCTCCAAAAAATTGTTTATAATATTTTTAAATAATTAAACATTATTAAATAGTGCATTTTTTAAAAGGAAGATTTTTTGAAAAAATATTACCAGCTACTAAAATGATTCATAAAACATGAATGTGAAGTAGGATGGATTCTTTAATAATTTTAGAAGTTAAAAGAAAGAAAGAAATGTTTCTCAAGATAGTTCCTATTAGGAAAACATGTAACTTTTTGAAAACAGCTTTTAGAATTGACTTGGATTGAGGGAAGTTCACAGAAACGATAATAATTCAAAATAAAATTAATAACAGTAAGTTAAATTACATTTAAATTTTAATTAAAACAGTAACTTAACAAATAGGAAAACATTTGCTGAAATGTAAATTTAGATGGTATAAAGTGGCAGGAAGTTTACTTGAACTATATAGTTGAAAGACTCTGAAAGTTATATATAGTGAATCATTTATTTGCATTTATTTGACATATAATAATTTTTGTGGAAAAGACATTTATTACTGAGCTATAAATTAGAGGGGGTGGGGCGGGGTGCGTGGGGAGCTGAGCAGTCATGTTTTGGGTATCCACCCTTTCTCTCTGTCCTGCTGGGCCTGGATTCCGAGTTCCTCATCCAGGTTCTCCTTCGTGAACCACCTTTGACTCCAAGTAGAAGCAGCCACCCACAGATTTATCCTTCACCTTCAACAAGTGTTTGTAGTTCTGGGCTTCTTTGGGGCTCAACTTGAAAACATTGAGAATATGTAGTGCCTCCTGGAGGCCCAGCTGGCTGTGTGGACATGAGGGTGATCACTCAGCCTTGGGCAGTCCAGAGCTCCCCCTAGACCTTCCAAATGGTCAGCACATCCCTGCCAGGTGGTACAGGAGAAGTGACACACAGGGACAGAGGTGGCCAGAGCTGTCTCTTCTTCAGGAGTGGTTTCTGCAAACTCCTGCTGCAGGGCCCAGGCAAAGGCCCTGCTGGCCACATGCCACCCCCATCACAGTGATTTGGGCCACGTACTTTCCTGGGGGTGCTTGGGGGTGTGGGTTCTGATTCCTGGTCCCACTACCTGTATGACATATCAATTTTATAAAAGTGAATTTATATATGTTTGGTTATGTTTACATGTTTTTCTCTACAAATTCATTGAAGGAAGTTGATTTCTAAGATTAATATTTTTTCATTATTTTAGTAAGACTTAGAGCAAAGCAAGGATTTAATGGATTTAGAACATCCCTCACATTCTCGGTGTTGAGTATATTCCTTGGCAGTGCTTGGAAGAGAGAGAAAGATTGATGGTGTGCTCTCTAGGTTCTTTCCTCCTTTAACAGGTTTCTGATTTTTTAAATTTCTGGTGAGAAACCAAAACTCCATTTCCAGTTTTGAGTTGTCCAAGTACAGCTGATTTATATATATGTAATTTTAACCTATATATGTAATCCTCTCTTGGCCTTATATTTCTTTACCTCATTATCATTGTTATCTTTCTCCTCCTCCTTCTAGTGCCCTCTGCCTCCTGAGCATCTTCTTCCTCTGCCTCTTCCTCCCATCCCATCATCCCTCCCCCATATCCCCGTCTCCAGGGATCCCATGGCTCTCTGCATAGGCATAAGGGATGTCCAGGTTATAATAGTCACTCTGTTCAATTTAGAGATTATTAATAGACAAGTTCTTAAACTTAAAATAATCTCTGTCCTTTCAGATTCCTACATTTAACAACTTCTACTTTAGGTTTTAGAAATATACTAAAGTAATACATGAGCTAGTACCTGAATCATTAATAATGGACTCATTAGTAATTATAGCTTGATTAACCATTGCAAATAGTCCCTTAGGTAGCACAATGTACTTTTTATATACTCCTGAGTTTATATAACTTGTTTTTTATGAATTATTATGGTGTTATATTGTATACATATCAGAGTAAAATAAATTTGAAAACTTCACTTTTTGAAGATAACTTGTATTGTGTTTTAGTTTAACAAAGGTGGTTTTATTAGGTTAACTAATAGAACTTAAGTTTCTTCTGTGTAGATTTGATATAATATTTGCTTTTAGGAAACACATTGAGTAGTAAGTTAAAAAGTGAGATCTTTATCAATCATTATCCTATCAGCTGTCTTTCCAAGGCTTTAAGTCCATCTGTATATTTTCTTATTGTAGGGGCTTGATCATTCTTTTTTCTTCCCCAGGGTCTCTTGAATTCTATCAGTTGTTGCTTTAAAGGCTTTAGAATGAGAGTCCATTCAAGCCTGTTTGATTTGACACTGTCTCAGTAGGGAAAAGTGTATCCAAGAGCATCAAGAACTAATGGTATTTCTCATTTGTTATTCTGTGGCAGCTTTCAAATTATAAGGCCATGTTGAAGTTCATTTTGTCCCATAGGGAGGTCAGCTTCTGTGAGAATTCTCTAATCAGTTCCCATCCAGGAGAACCAATAAGCAGCCTCTTGGAATTTCTCTCATATTTTCTCTAGAGAAATGTCTGTTCAGACTTTTTGCTTATTGAAACTGGGTTATTTACCTTTTTATTGAGTTGTAAGAGTTCTTTGTATATTCTGGATACAGATTCTTAATCAGATAATATGATTTTCACGTATTTTCTCCTTTCTGTGGGTTGTCTTACTGTTTGTTCCTATGTTATTCCAAATACCTTAATAAAAACTTAAAAAATATTTTTTATCTAATAAGCTTACCTACATATATTTTGAAAATATCCAGGAAATTACATTTTTACTTGTTTTGATTTAGAGGCATCATTTTGAAATGTTCCATCTTAATTTGTCATGTGAATCAGTTCATTCTGTTTAGTTATAAAACTAAGGTAATTATTTAATTACTGTGTTCTTGTAATGGTTGTTCCTACTTTATTATTTTAGCAGCTTTATTGAGATATAGTTCAAATACTATACAGTTTACCTATTTAAAGTGTACTATTCAATGGTTTTTCATATATTTACAGAATCATGAAACCATCATCACAATTTTAGAACATTTTTATTCTCCACAAAAGAAACTCTGTACCCATTAGCAGTGACGCCATATCTCCTTTGCCTAGCCCCAGGCAACCATTAATTTACTTTCTGTCTCTGTGGATTTGCCTCTTCTGGACATTTCATTTAAAAAGAGCCATACCATATATATGGCCTTTTGTGCCTGGCTGCTTTACTACTTAGTTTGAATTTCATGGTTCCTACATGTTGTTGTATATATCAGTATTTGTGTTCCTTTTTATTACCAGATAATATTACATTGTATTAATATTTCAAATTTTGTTTATATATTCACCAGTTGATGGGCATTGGGTTATTTCCACTCTTGATTGTTATACATAATGTTGCTATGAACATTACTATTATTATCATCATTTTTTAGAAAACAACTTTGTTGTTTGTTTTTGAGATAGAGTCTTGCCCTGTCACCTGGCCTAGAGTGCCATCAGCCTAGCTCACAGCAATCTCAAACTCCTGGGCTCAAGTGATCCTCCTGCGTCAGCCTCCTGAGTAGCTGGGACTATAAGCACGTGCCACCATACTGGGTTAATTTTTCTATTTTTAATAGAGACGGAGTCTCACTCTTGCTCAGTCGGGTCTTGTACTCCTGGCCTCACACAGTCCTCCGTCCTTGGCCTCCCAGAGTGCTAGGATTACAGGCATGAGCCACTGTACCCGGCCAACTATGAACATTATTATACAAGTTTTTATTTGGGTGTATGTTTTCATTTCTCTTGGGTATATACCTAGGGGTGAAATTGCTAGGTTAAGTAACTCTGTTTAACATTTTGAGAAACTGCTGAACTGTTTTCCAGTGTACTATCAGCAGTAGTTCCAATTTTTCCATATCCTTGCCAACTCTTGTTATTGTCTTTTTGATTATAGCCATCCTAGTGGGTGTGAATTGGTATCTCCTTGTGGTTTTGATTTGCATTTGCCAAATGGCTAATGATGTTCTTTTCATATGCTTATTAGACATTCTTGTATTTTCTTTGGAGAATGTCTATTCAGACCCTTTGCTCATTTTAAATTGGGCTATTTGTCTTTTTATTATTGAGTTGTAAGAGTTCTCTGTATATCCTGGATACAAGTTCTTATAAGATATATGATTTGCAGGTATTTTCTCCTGTTCTATGGGTTGTCTTATTACTTTCTTGATGGTGTTGTTTACAGCACAACATATTTAAATTTTAATGAAATTCAGTTTATTTTTGTTGTTATTGCTGCTTTTGGTGCCATATCTAAGAAGGCTTTGCCTTACCACAGGTCATGAAGATTTATTCCCATGTCCCTCCCTCATTTTAATAATTATAACTCTTCAGAGTTACAAGAAACTTTAAAAAATGTTTTTATTTACTCTTTATTAAAGATCATACATTAAAGAAAGCAATACTGAATCATTTTTGTTATTCTTCCAATTTTCTTTGAACAACAGTTGAAGTGGTATTGATATTTGCATGGTATTGACAATTTTGTTAATTCTATGTGTTTTGTTAAGAGATAAAAAATAGTGTTGTCACTTACTGATTTTTGATAATGGCACTAATAAGTGAGAACTGAGTCAGTTTTTAGAAATGACAAAAAAAAATGAATTTAGAATTGTAGATGCTATGCTAGTTGATAGGAAAACCAGACTCATTTACCCTCATTCTTTCTCTGACATAATCATATATTGTGTCTAAGTACATTAGGTACTACATGCATAGACAATTAGCAAAATTCATAATCTGTTATTCATTGGTTCAAAGTAAGATATTACTTGATTTACTGACTTAGGTAAATAAAACTATTTGTTGACCCCAATAAATTTCTATAACAATTCACAGTATGAAGTTATAAGAACTATTTTATTTTGCTCACAGCCGTAAATAACCAAACATAATGTACATCTTTCTAAAAGCTAACACATCTTAAACCCAGCATATGACATGATCTTGTATGTAGAAAATCCTCAGGAATTCGCACATACATACTAGAACTAATAAGAGCTTAACAAAGTCATAGGATATAAGATCACTATAAAAAAATCAATTGTACTTCCATATACTAGTAATAAACAATTCAAATATGAAATTAAGAAAATAGTTTTATTCACATAGTATCAAAAAGAATTAAATACATAGAAATAAATTTAACAAAAGAAGTATAAGACTTGTACAATGAAAACCCTAAAACATTGCTTAAAAAAATTAAATAAGATATGAATAAGAGGAGAGGCATTCCATGTTCATGGACTGGAAGATTCAATATTGTTAAGATGCAGTAATCCAAATTGATCTATATATTCAATACAATCTCTATAAAAATCCCAGCTGGTTTTTTCCCCCCAGAAATTAAGAAGCTGATCATAAAATTTCTGTGGAAATGAAAAGAATCCAGACTAGCAAAACAATCTTAAAAAAGAAGGAAATCACAGAATAAAAGAAAAAAAAAGGGACTTAAACTGCCTAATTTCAAAACATACCACAAAGCCACAATAATCAAGATAATGTGATACTTGCTTACAGGAAGGCATATATATCAATGAAATTGGATTGAGAATCTGAAATAAACCCTGTTATGCTCAATTGATTTTTCACAAAGGTGCCAAGGCAATTTAACGTGGAAAGAACAGTCTTTTCAAAAAATGTTATGGAGACAATTATTGTATCCTGAGGCAAAATATTACTTTGGACCTTTATCTCATGCCATATACCAGAGTTAACTCAAAATTGATCATAGATGTAAATACAAAGCTAAGACTATAAACTATTTGAAGAAATATAGGAGTAGGAGTAAATATTTGTGACCTTCCAATGATTTATTAGATATGACACCTAAAGCACAAGTGATACAAATTGATATATTATGTTTTATCAAATTAAAAACTTTTATGCTTCAAAAGATACCATTAAGAAAATAAAAAGACAAGCCATACAAACTTGGAGAAAATAATTGTAAATCATATATTCAAGAGAGAATTTATACCTAAATAAGCCCAATTAAATAATGAGAAAAAATTTTGAATAGACATTTCACCAATGAAGATATTCAAATGGCTAATTAGCATATGAAAAGACTTTCAACATTGTTAGTCACTAGGGAAATGCAAATCAAAAACATAATGAAAAACAAAAAACGAACGCCATGATGAGATATTACTTCACACCCCTCAAGAATCCTACAATTAATAAAACAGACAGTAACAATGTTGACCGCCATGTGGAGAACCTTGAACCCTCTAACATTGCTGGAAGGAATTTGAAATGTTGAAGTTACATTGAGAAGTAGATTGGCAGTTTCTCAAAATATTAAACAAATTTATTTTCATCATTCAAAAATTCCACTTTTATTTAACCAAGAGAAACGAAAGCAATTGTCCATGCAAATCTTCATAGTTGTCTTATTCATAATAGCCCAAAGTGGAAACAGCCTAAATGTCTATAAACAGATGAATGGATAAATAAAATGTGGCAAATCGGTATAATGGAATACTATTTGACAATGAAAAGGAAGAAAATAGTGATACATACTACAACATGGATGAACCTCACAAACATTACACTTAGTGAAAGAGGCTAGGCATGGAAGTTCATGTATTGTATGATTTCATTTATATTGACTGTACAGAAAAGGCAAGAAAATGACATTTAGAAACAGATAGCAGATTAGTAGTTGCCTGGAGCTGTTAGGAGTGAGAGTGACTTCAAATGGGCATGAGATTTCTTTTTGGGATGATGAAAATGTTCTGAAATTAGATTGTGGAGATGGTTGTACAATATGGCAGATTTATTAAAAATAATTGAATTGTATACTTGAAATGAGTGAAATTATGGTATGTAAATTATATCTTAATAAAGTTAGAAAATCTGAAGCTCAAATTTAGACATGTAAACAAAATTTTAATTTTCTATCATGCTGGATAACATAGCTATTAATTATGACATACATTCTATCTAAAAGAATATGGTCATCTATTGAGTATTTTTCCAAATGAAAGATTGTAAAGCTCAGTGTAAAGCTAGTGTCATTGGACTCTTTTCTAGAGTCTTTAAGAACTTGACAAATACATTATCAACTTGGAACTATTAGAATTAGAGTAAGGTTGTCTGCATGGTACAGTGGATGTGATTTCTGCTATACTGTTCATAGACCTTATAACCGATAGCAGTTAAGTTAAATTTGCTGGTTTGCTAATAACTAAGGTCACCATGATCTTAAGATGGTTCACAAAGGTGTAACCAATTGTGTTGGGAATCAAGAATTTAGTTCTAACTTATGTTATATTACATGTGGAAAAAATTGGGGCTACATATTTTACAGTCCTTGTTTCTTTTAATCTAATTTATAAAACAACGTTTGAGGACAAAAATGTCAAGAAATAAGAGATTATACAAGACTGCTTAGCCTGGATCTCTGGGAAACTTTAAATGCAAGAGATCCTTTACTAATAGCACACATGTGATAAAAGTTTTTGATGAACCCACTTACCAATTATAAAACTCTTGATGTGAAAATCAAAACAATGCTTGACATTTCAAGAGTATTGTTAAACATAAATATAAAATAAGATTATGATTTCAAAAGACTAGGTTAGCTAAGGCCTCCGAGAGAGAATATGTAAACAGAGGAAAGGCTGTAAGGATGCGCTGAAGCAGCAAACCACAGACAGGCAGAATTTTAGGGGAAAATAGCTATAGAAAAACCCAATTGTGGCCCGGTGCGGTGGCTCACGCCTGTAATCCTAGCACTCTGGGAGGCCGAGGTGGGAGGATCGCTCAAGGTCAGGAGTTCGAAACCAGCCTGAGCAAGGGCGAGACCCTGCCTCTACTAAAAATGGAAAGAAATTAATTGGCCAACTAATATATATAGAAAAAAAATTAGCTGGGCATGGTGGCGCATGCCTGTAGTCCCAGCTACTCGGGAGGCTGAGGCAGGAGGATCACTTGAACCCAGGAGTTTGAGGTTGCTGTGAGCGAGGCTGACACTACGGCATTCTAGCCTGGGCAACAGAGTGAGACTCTGCCTCAAAAAAAAAAAAAAAAAAGAAAAACCCAATTGTTTTGAAGCTTTCCAAAGTGAAGGAGACGGGCTTTAATACAAAGAAACAGAATCACAATCAGCCGTGGTGTGAGAGCTGGCTGCAGTGATGTGCTGCAGTCACATTAGGGCCCTTCTCCAGCCACATGTGTGGCAGGTTATCAGCACCACGTGATGCCACTTTGAAATACACGGGAGTGCTGAGGGGAGTGGGAAAGGTACATGTGGCACCTGTTCTTTTGCCTCTCAGTGATACACTCTGTATTGTTGAGAAGAGCTTTTCTCTGCAGTTGAGTAGATCTTGTCTGTTTTGCTTTTATTTGTGAATGGGGAAATGTCTACCCATGACCTATAGCAGCATATCTATAAATGCTCATGGACTGATGCACACTGTAGACATTTCTGACTCCATATGTATAAGCCATGAAATCATCTGGAGAATATAGAACCTGATAGTGAAATTCTACAAAGAACGAAGTTATTTTCTCATATTTGTTGATTGGAAGAAGTAGGATGTACTACTAGTCATCTCACAGTTTATATATATACATTTTTACACTAATATAGTATATACTAATTTATGGTTTGTAACTATGCTTTACACTTTTAATTTTCTCATACATATTTTAAGAACTCAGTAATACACTCTGTATTTTTAGGTTTAATAGGAAGACAACTTATAGGGTGCTCTCTGACAAAACCAACCAATTAAAGAGTTTTTCTGACAATAATATTTTTAAAAATGAAACAACTGCAGGTTGGACCAGGAGATTGATTTTATTTTCAAATTCCAGAAACGTAAGATATGCATTCTTGTTAAGTCTTTCATTGATTACTTACTTTTGTATGCATTTTGCTTTGTATTTTGATAGAGTAAAAAAGCCATAAAGAATATCCTGCAAAAATGCACTTACCTACCAGCCCTTGAACCATTTCTATATGATGCTCCTCCCAATATTCTGAAGCATGTTGTTGGACAGTTTAGTAAGGTAAGAAATGCTCTCTTAGCCTGTAAGGGGAAGAAGAAAGATAAAATGATTTGTTAACTTATTTTTTTCTGTTGGGTCCATGGTTTCTTTTGTTAAGATGGGGGTCAGAATTTTACTACTTAACTCTCACTGATCTGTATTGACAGTGAAGGTAAGATAGGTTAATAAAGCTCCCATATAAATGAAACACTTCCTCCCTCCTCACATTTTCCTCACAGCCTCTGTACTATCCCTTATAGTGTTCTCATTTGGTAAAAATTTCCTAATAAGGTAGTTTATATTGATAAGTAACTTTTAGTAATTTTCCCAGGGTCTTTTAGTCTCACTCACCAGGGGAACACTGCAAAGATCTTATAAAGAACAGGAAAAAAAGTCTCTGAGCCACTGAAATATTTTTCACAAAGTCCATGTACTTTACTGGAGATGCTCTTGGACAGTAATTTGGAGCATATTGACTTATTTTATGAACAATTTTAACAAGTGTAGCTATCATATTTCTTAGATCATTGCAGATTAAATGATAGTAAATGGTAGTAAGGTAGAAAGGTTGAGCTGACAGAAGTGGGCACAGCCAGCAGAGCTGATTACTGAAAGAAAAGGATGAAAGAGAATGAATGCATTACCACAGTCACTGAGAGTCAGGATGGTGACCCTAAGCTACCAAGAACTGGTTAAGTTATGTTCAGTGTATTTGACTTTAGAAAATGGGGTCTGCACAAGTAGTATCCCATAGTGGCTATGAGCTCAGGCTCAGGAGTCGGAGTACCTGGACTTTCCACATACCAGCTCTTATTCTTTAGCAAAGTCTTAACCTTTCTAAACCTTAGTTTGGTTACCAGTAAAATGGGAATAATAAGAGTATTTATTATAATATTCCTAGGCTTGTTGTAAAGAGTAAATGAGATATTGTATGTTAAAAGTTTAGCTCAATCCCAGGCACATATTAAACACTTATAAAAACAAAAACAACCAAAGAGTTGTTTTAAGAAATAAAATATGCAAATGGTAAGGCTAATTAAAAAGGTTTTTTAGAAAACCTTTTTTTAAAAAGGTTTTTAAAAAATGAATGGAGATGAAAAATTCATTTGAGTAGTCAGTTATAATGCCATATAAATGAGGAGCTACTATTTGTATGCTATATTTCTATAAATAATGAACAAAAAATATATATATTTTTATAACTTTTAAAGTAGGTCCTACAGTTAAGTAGGTCTAGTTTTAGGTATCCATCTGAAAGATAGACTCTACTAATAGCTTTCAGTTCTCTCAACTCTGTCCACGGTCTCCAATGGCTCAACTGACCGTCAAGTACCATTGCTACTGGGAAGGAGAGGTTTCACATTGCTGAAGCCACTTCAGGGTGCAGCTCTGTGTATCAGACACCTGTGTCCTTAGACTTTTTCCCCTCTTAGTTACATGGGATGTAGGAGATATACTGGCATGTCTCCTTGACAAAGCAACTAACTAGCCAAATAATGCAGAGAAAAAGCTAAATTATCACAAGGGGAAAATTGATCCATGTCTTTAGTTGTCTGTATTTTTGGTTGCTGAGTAAGAAATTGGCCAGTGAATTTGGTCATCTGAGAGGGAGATGGGATAAAGGCCCGAGTAGATCATCTATAGATAGGGTCGTCAGCTCTTACAAATAGGTAGTTGACATTAGTTCTGAAAGTTTCATTTTGTAGTTTAATCTTTTAGGCTTGTGAGTGAGATATTCTAGTTTTATTGTGCTTGCTATGAAAATGAACACTAACCTATGTTGAATTCAGAATAAGTAAATAAAGTCAGTAGGATTTGTGAAAGTTTGATAGCTAAGGTAAAAGAAAGACAGTATCCCATATCATATATTCTTTTAATGGACCTTCAGGAATATTTTCTTAATCTAAGGATACCAAAACACTAAAAAGAGGTGAGAAAGCAAGGCAGAAGGTGAAAAGATATTAATGTGCCTAGGGATAGAGATAGGAATTAATGAAAATTCTCCAGGCCAAACAAAATATTTAAAACTGATCTATTCAAGTCCTGCAGAGAGGAAAGAAAAAAACTCTGCTCTTATGGCTATTCCATTTTTTAGAAATACATACTAGTGCAGTCTTTTATTGTCCAATTGATTTGTATTGCCATTCTATACTAGCAAGATCCTTTTGTAGTTTTAGTTATTTGTGAAATGCCTACAGGTACCCTATATATATATATTTTTTTTTTGCTAACTACAGTGAAAATGAAATATATTTTTAAGCATTGGGGAATAGATTAAAAAAAAAGAATAAAACAAAGTAGTTCTTTAAGTAAATTTATAATCTAGCTGAGGAGAGCAGACAAAACAGAAAAAAAAACCACTTCAATATTCTGGACTTTGTAATAAACATTTTTTTTTTTAAGAAGGAGTGAGTGAATGTAGTCTGAGGTATTCAGAAAGGGCTTCAGTGGAGGAAGTGGTTCTTGAAGAAAAAACAAGATGAAGGGGGAAGAAGGGGTGTTTCTGTCAGAGGAAATAGCAGCAGTGACCAAGGAAGAGAGCAGGAATTCCCACACTGTGAGCCCATCCTCTTCCCAGGACCATCCTAGTCTGGTCAGTCTTGCATAGTACATTTCTTCATCTTCATTGGCTTTTTCCTCTCCACACACAAATATGCTCAAGTCTCCTCTAGCCTAAGAACAAAATCTGAAACACCTGTAACCTTTAGTTCTGTCCCAGCTTGCTCTCAACCTACTGATTCTCTTCTCTTTCTGAAATTTTAAAGTTTGACTTGACTTTACTTCTGATGTTTTCCTTAACTACTGCTAATCTGACTTCCTCAACTTTCCATCTATATGCAACTGCCTTTACTTAATTCTTCAACACCCTATCAAATCAAATCCAGTGACTTTTTTTTTTTTTTTTTAGTCTCGGTTGCTTTTAAAAATATTCCCTTGGATTTGTTGATTACTTACTTTCCTGATTCTTCTTTGGTGTCTTTAACATCTTCTCAATCTCCTTTCTCTGCCTACTGTTTAGCACATTCATTCATTTGTTACACATTTGTTAAGTATCTATTAGGCACCATGCAAGAGGGAATTGAATGAATGAATGAATGTATAGTTTCTACCTACAATGACATTTATGTATGACGGACATATAAATGGATAACTAAAATATTGTGGTAAGTGCACTGATAGTGGTTTGACAGAAGGCTATGAGAGAAGAAAAGTACTCAACTTATCCTGGGATGAGAGGATGGAAGTGTCCCAGAGAAGGTTTCTTAAAAGGAGGTAACACTTAAGCTAAAAAGTCTTTAAAAATGACTACGAGTTAACCAAGCAAAAGGGGGAGTTTGTGGAGTGTGGAAGGACATTTTAGGAAGAAGAAACAGCATGGGAAAAGGCAATAAATGGCACAGCATGCATGCTTTGATGTTATCAAAATGAAATTTAGGATGTGGATTGTGGGTAAGGTGGCTGGAGAGGTATTTAGGAGCTAGGTCTCAGAGGACTCTTTGTGCTTTGTTCAGGAGCTTGCCTTTCCATTTTGTAGGTAGTGGAGACACCTTGAATGGATGTGAGCTTTATGTTTTACATTTATGAGTGGATCTGCATTGCCTTTGCCCATGTTCATTGCCTTTATTTCATCTTCACAACATAAAAAGTTAATACATTTCTAAAAAAGAGTGTATTCCACTTCAAGTCATTAGCAGATTTGGGCTCATTATGTTATAGGTATACTGGACATAAATTCTCTTTTACATTTTCTCAGATGCAGTATTGCTTTTTAATAGTAATAATTTAACTTGGAAAAGAAAAACTGACGTCTTTATGTGCCTCACTTTTCAAGGTGCTGCCGCATGATAGCAAAGCTCGGCGACTCTTTGTGACAAGTGGTGGACTTAAAAAGGTTCAAGAGATAAAAGCAGAACCTGGTTCTCTCCTTCAAGAATACATCCACAGTATTAACAATTGTTACCCAGAGGAAATAGTAAGGTGAGGAAAAATGGACTTTGAGAAGTTCAATATTATAACTTTGAGAAGTTCAATATTATAAAGTAGTTTTTCTGGTTTTAAATCTAGATATTATATCCACTGTGCCAAAATGTGGACTTTGAAATACTACGTGAGGCCAATGTATATCTTTACTCTCTCTTGATCTCTCCCCCTGCAATTAAATAATGTTCTAATTGACACACACATTTCCAAATCAAGCTGGAATGTCATTTAAGACATTTCTGTACTAATTTAACATATGCATTCCTAAAGAGTATCCAAATACAGAATTCAAACTAACAGTTTTTAAATTGTGAATTCCTGATTTAGAAAAGGCCTACAGATTCTGATTTTCACAGTTCCTTGAATATCACTTTTCTGCCTTAAGCTCACATTTACATTAAATGGAGTATTACAAGTAGAAAAGAGATACTGAGTAACAAAAAGAAAGTTAATTACTATCTAAATGCAAAAAAAATTAAATAATGTTTATGATATGCAGGTACTTCAGAGTAAGGTAGGAAGATGCTACTTTCAAGATTAATATTTTTTTAAAATGAAATTGATTTGCAGAGCATTAAACCTAAGCCTCAGTTCTTATAAGCCTAAGAGAGAACTATACCATTAAACCCCAAATAAATAAAAACAAAGCTTTCAAGGTAAGATAGAATGATTTAAATTGAATCTTGAAAAATGCTCACAAAGAATGCAGAATAAAAGGCATATTTATCTATGTTTTTCTAATCCTGCATTCATTTATTTTCTTTAATATTAGAAAATATAAATTGATTTTTAAAACATATACTATGATGTATCATAGTATATTATAATTTATATCTGTTCATTCTTTCTATTTAACATTAATAGCTTTTTAATACATAAAGTAACATTGATTTTAAAAGCCAAAAATAATTTTAAGCTTAAAGTTTGTTTTCTATTCACATATATTCACCAGTAAATTTTTTTCAGAGTTGCAAGTTTATTATGCACTTTTGGGAAGTTTATGAGAACTCCTTGACCAAAAGAGTTCTGATAAGTCAGCTTTGAAAATATATATATATATATGTATATATATATATATATCTCAAAGGAGTAGTATATCATAAAATGTATATCTATATATAATATTCAATTTTATATTTTAAAAGTTCATATAACAAAATATGTGTGAAACCACTAAATATGAAAGAAATAAGAAAACCTATTATTAATTATTATTAAACCTTTTATTATTATTTAAGAAAATAAAATTAATTTTTATACATGAAATATATGTTCCTTCAGGAAGAATGCTATTTTTATATAAGTTTTAAATAGCTTTTCAATGCAATTTTCCAACAAACAAAATTATAGAAAGATAAATAAAGGTAAACTTAAAGGAGCCCCCAAAATAGAATGACCTATTACAGTCAACCAATGGTTAGGTACTTTCTTGAATAGAAATTTTTCTTTCTTCTTTTTTTTTAGATGTATTTTAACTAAGCACCAGGAGAAATTGAACACTCAGTCACATTAGAATTTAATCTGTTGCTTTGTCAAACTATCATTGTAAATTTTTAACTTCTTGAATTCTGTAAGCTGGGATTTCACTTTAAAAATTGGCTAATTATCATGAAGAATTTGCTTAGCTGAATAACGTTTTCAAAATTCTGATATTTTTTAAAGCATTAGGTTCTATAAAATGGTGTTTTATAGAAATCTTTGAAACGTCTTTCTGTGAAATAGACAAATATAATTTCAAAATGGTTTTGTTTTTACAATTACATAATTCTCAAGAATCATTTGGTGACAACTATTTTAAACTAATTATTCTTTACAAGATAGATTATCAACTGTTACATTCTCTCATCTGTTATTAGCCTAAATGTTTATTTCATATTGCCTTCCAATTTTAGTAATCTTTAAAAATATTTTAATAAAGGTAGGTAGTATAAGAGGAAAGGGGCCCAAACTAGGCGTTAGAAGACCTAAGTTCTAGGCCTGGCCCCCTCCACAGCCATAAGATGAACTCCTTTGTCTTCTGAATCTCTGCCTAAACTGGGGAGGGAAGTGGCTTTTGGGAAACATCTACTTTGGGGAGGGAGGCATGTACATGTCTGCCATTCAGCACATTCCAGTATAGTAACAATATAATTAGAACCCCAATTCTACATGGGTGTAGGATAAGGTTAATCCACTTACATTCTTAAAGGACATTCAGAGGTAAGTTGGGATGGCTGTGGTTGACAGCCAGAGGGAAGGAAGCTCCTTGTTCTTTTTTTGGAGGTTCATTTTGGTTCTTTCATGAGGAGTATGACTAAAAGCTCAGGCTGAGATATCAAGCAGACCTAGATTCCTCTCTCAGTTCCAGCTACTTACTATGTGACCTTAAAGGCAATATTTAACCCTTTTAGCCACAGTTTCTGTATGTGTAAAATGTAGATAAAGAAAATTACCTATTATAGAGTTAGAATTAAATGAGATAATGCTTAGCCAAAGGGCTTAGGAAGAATTCAATTCAGTAAATGTCTATTATTGTCCTATTCCAGCACCCCTATTCTCATTTTTCTTTCTATGGAGATTAAATAACATTACTAGGTGAAGCAAATTTAATATTATTATAATATTGGAAAAACTATGTAGCAGCACTTGGCCACTTACTATTTTTCGCTATTTGTTTTGGTGATAAATGCATGTCAAGCAAATTTTTGTTTTTTTGCAAATGACATAAATAAAGGTTATTCTGATTAGATTTAAATTGCCTTTAGTTGCTAATGTAGGGTTCCATGCTTTTTCCTGATGAGAAGCTACTTTTGAATTCCTGAGTATCAGAGAGACTCTAATTGGAATGGGGCTTTCTAACAGTTAACGGACAACTTGATACATTTATTTATGGGTCTATATACTGAGACACATAGGCAGTCTGTATGCATTTATAGGCAGTTAAGTAGTGCTATGTGTATACTCTGCTGAGGGGGGTGAGAAGAATCAGTGCTGAGCACATCCTCTTTCCTAAGAATTCTGGAGACTAGGAAGTCTCTAAGGTCTTTGGGAAGACAAATACAGGCAGATAGCTTGGAAATTAACCAGGTAGAGCCTTTAGAATTATTGGTACATCCTAACTGATTTACTGGGGACCTTTATTTTAAAGCAACACTGTTTAATAGAAATATAATGTGAGCCACATATGTAATTTCAGATAGTCTGGTAGCCACAGTTAAAAAAGTAAAATGAAGTCTGAGCAATGTGGCTCAGACTTATCTAGGTGTGGTGGCATGCACTACTCTGGAGTCTGAGGCAGGAAGATTGATCGAGTCCAGAAGTGTGAGGTTGCAGTGAGCTATGATGACACCACTGCACTCCAGCCCGGGCAATAGAGACAGATACCGTCTTAAAAAAATATATAGTAAAATGAAACAGGGTAAATAAATTTTAATGATATATTTTTGTTGACCCAGTATATCCAAATATTATAATGTCAACTTGTAGTCAATATAAAAATTATTAATGAATTATTTTACATTTTTATACTAATTTTTGAAATCTGGTGGGTATATTGAAATCTAATATTAATAACATATATTAATAAATACCATATCATTAAAGAAAAAAATTTATTAATATAACATGTTAAATTAAGTATTTGACACATTAAATATTAAACAGATTTATTAATAATTTAATAAAAATATTAAAAATTTAAGGATATTTTAAAACCTACCTCTTACATTTAGATAAAAGTACCTATCTGGTATCTGGCATATTTATAAGGCCTAGGAAGGTGAGGTCTGCTCTAAAACTGTGACTAACTCAGAGAAGCAGGTATGCATTCCTCAATGTAAGAATACTTTGAAGACACCCACGTTGAAGGACAATTTTTTCAAGGGTAGGAGGCCTTTAGAGGAGAAACTTTTTTTTTTTTTTTTTTGAGACAGAGTCTCACTCTGTTGCCCAGGCTAGAGTGAGTGCCATGGCATCAGCCTAGCTCACAGCAACCTCAAACTCTTGGGCTCAAGCAATCCTGCTGCCTCAGCCTCCCAAGTAGCTGGGACTACAGGCATGCACCACTATGCCTGGCTAATTTTTTCTATATATATTAGTTGGCCAATTAATTTCTTTCTATTTATAGTAGAGACGGGGTCTCGCTCTTGCTCAGGCTGGTTTTGAACTCCTGACCTTGAGCAATCCGCCCGCCTCGGCCTCTCAGAGTGCTAGGATTAGGATTACAGGCGTGAGCCACCACGCCCAGCCTGAGGAGAAACATTCTTTAAGGTAGCTTTTTACACATATGTATGTATGTATCTGTTTAACTGTGAACTGCCTATTAAGTACACTATTGAGAAAATACAGCCCTGTATTTAACTTGACAAATTATAGAAGAAAGTAATGTAATATAATGATGAGTTTTTAAGTCAAGCATCTGGGCATAAAGATGACTAACAAAGGACAAAACGAGTCTCTAACATTAGGCTTTATCTGGAGAAAATGCCCTCAGAGGCCTAATTTCAATTTTGAGTATTTGGGGAATTTTAAAATTATACTTTCATAGATTTTTAAATCCATTTATTACAGAATAACTGCCAAATTTTATTTGACATACTTTTATATGCATGTAAATTTTTTCCATGATATATTAAGCATCCCTCAATGCATTAATCATATATATTCAATACTTTTATACTCTTTTAAAAAATATTCAGTTTATAAATATACATTTATAGTACTTTAGATACCCAAGAACCAACAAAAATAATTAATTTCCTAGGTTTGTGTGATACAAACATTTGTAAGCCATTTATTAATAGTTATTAAATGTGAATTATACTCCCAGAAATTTTTGGTTTTGAGGGTGATCAGACCTGACTAAAACATGTGCTGATCTTGAAAACATATGCTGAGAATAATCTCTAAGGCAATCATAATGCAGTTGATTAGTAACAATAGACTGTGTAGTCTAACTTATGATAAAAATCTATTAGCTTTGATCCTTAAAGTAACATTAGTTACTTGATATAATTAAAGTCTCTGTAATAAAATATTATCACTGTATTGAAATCTCTTACTTGGAAAATGTCCCCTTTGCCATTATATTTATACCCCATAAGTTTTTGCTACTTCTCTAGCACAGTGTTGTTGAGTTGGTATTTTCTTCTTGATAGTCTCTAACATTATACACAAATCATTACTGGAGCATAATTATTCAGTGCACATTTGAGGTTCCATTCAGAATTATTTCAGATACATTCCTTATATTGAATCTTTTGTGCCTGCTGTATTGAATCTACTCATAAGTATCTAACAGCAAATTTTCTTTTTCAGGTATTATTCCCCTGGATATTCAGATACACTTCTGCAGAGGGTGGACAGCTATCAACCACTTATTAACTAAGCAAGTTATATTTTTACACTCAAATTCACAGCAGAATAGTTATGAATAACAGTTGTTAAAGCTCTTTCTAAATATTTGAACTAAGTACATTCTAGATTTATTCAGTGTGAAATACCTTTAGATGATATTGTCTAAATTTATGTAATACTTTAAAAATTAGTAGCTTGACTATATGAGGAGAACTATTCATGGTCATTTGCTAGCATAGGATTTGCTCTAAAGGTAGATTTAAAAGAGACATTAAAGAATTTTAAGGCATTTGTTATTCTATTAAGTGTCCCCCTGCAACTAGATATAGATAAGAGATGATATTCAAAAACCCTTAGTTATTTTGGCCAATTCTTCATAGTCATAGAGGAAAATTGGCTTTGCAAATTACACAGTAAGATATAGAAGGGAAATTATTGAAAGAGGAAACTGATGACAAGAATACAGAACACTTGGAAAGGGATTCTGATGCTGGTTACATGAAGGCATTAACCTAACACACAGACTCGGTGGGTAACCCATCAGGTTTTCCTAAAAATTTAGGAAGGCTCTCCTCCTTCTCACAGGTTTTCTCCACCCTACCTAAAGTTCTTTTCCTCTGGAACTAGAGAGGTAAAAGTCAGCACTGAGCCTTATACTCCTGCAGACATGCTTTCCCTCTCATTGAAAGGTTTCTTAGTCTAGCTCTGCTCATGAATAAACAAGAAAGCAGGCACGTAAAATAGGTCCTTAGTATTCCCTTTTCCTAGCTTCACCATCCCAGAAGTGACATTTTCTGAGACTTAAGGGATAATTTGAAAAGAATACCATCAGGCTCAAACTTTTACATGCATTTTCACTTGGGAAGCTGTAATGTGGTGGAAGGGGGGGTTTCAATAAAATTTTAAATGAAAACAGCATTAGAATTGTCCTTTTCATTTTTCCTATCCAGTGTGTTTCTAACCTTGGGGAGTATGTGATTTGGATTTTGGGGTCTTGGTCAGTTGGTATGTGTGTGTCTTTTGATCTGAAGGGATATCACTTCTAGTGCTTTCTCCTGGAGGCCCAAGAGGAGGTGAAGATAATCCAGAGAGCCCCAGGCCACAGTGTTTCCAGTCTAGCTGTTTTCAGGTTTCCTTCTTGGACTCCGTTTTTTTTGTTTTCTTTTAATTTGAAAGGAGCCTACCCATTTATTTATGGTATTTTATGGATTCATCTCTGTCATCATTGTTCCCCAACAGTGCGTAGCTTTGTTGTGTATTTTAAAACTTCATCATACCCAAGATTGCCCCATTTCTTTTTGCCTTATGTCAGGCTAAGATTGCTGCTGATTTCATTTCTTTAATACTTCCTTGAACCTATTTTGTTTCCTTGCAGCGATTTCTTTGACTCATTGAATAGGAAAATGTAATTTTTATTCCCAATTTTGTAGCTTTCCTTTCTTTCCTTCTTGCCTGCCCAGCTCATCTTGTGAACCTTTTTAGCAATCTGAGAAAATAAAAGTAGTTTTTATTTTTCTTCATTAAGGGTATTTTTCTTAGATGACCATGTTGGTAATGAGAGAAACTAGTTTGTCTAGGTTAAAACCTCCTCAGATATTATTGGAAGGGTCAACTTCCTATTATGTATTTTTTGGCATTGTACTTTACAGTTGAAGTTTTTCATTTCATGCATCATTTCATACTTACCAAATAGTACTAAACTAACAATGTGATAAAATATTTAATAGCGTTCAGATAGGTGTTATGTCTCTTAACATAAAGCACTTTAAGCAAAGTGAAGCTTTCTTTACTTTTTGAAAAGTCCATTGTGAGATTTTTTTAAATAATAAAACCAAAATCTTTTCCATTTGTGCTAGAGCAAAAGTAGTGTCTCTCATTGATGATATCCTGATATTTTCACCCCTGGCTTGAATCTTGTCAATTCCAATTCTCTGTGTAGACAAACCTCTGTCCTACTGCTCCCTGCCCACCTCCCACCCCTCAACCTGGGAGTTTATTTAAAATTCAGCTATCATTAGGACCTCTCAATTTACATGAACAATTATTTTTAGGACTTCAGTTCAGGAATAGAATTGTTTGAACCTTATTATTCTAGATTCAGTCAGTTTACCTGTTGTGAATATAGGTGAAATCAGTGGTACCTGAAAAGAGATATTGGAAACCTGGGTTTTAGTCACTATATTATTTAGTAGTAAGGCGGATAATACTCACTCATAAGATGCTAATGAAAATAACTGCCAATGGTACATGTAACAATTTTGTAAATGATTCCATTTTTTATAAACCCAACATATTACTAATGGGAAATCTGATTGTCAATGACAGATGACACATTTTGGCCAACAATTGTGTGGTATCCCCCAGACCCTGCACTCTTAGATAAGTGGAGTTTAAACCAGATGATTTATGATAAAGAAAGACTACATTTCCTGCCCTCATGGAGTTTTCTAATATAAACACCTTTGCCCAGACAGAGGGAGTGGAATAAGACACAGGACACGGAACACAAAACAGGCATATTTAACGGAGTATGTAAAAACAAATGACAACCCCCTATTTACAGGATATTGACCTGTTTTTCTAACCATTTCCTCTCAAAGAAAACTCCTTTCCTTAAAGAAAAGGATAATAGGTTTGCTTGTTTCTAAAGTTGATTTGAGGTCCTGCCTAACATAAACCGTGACCTTAAATTCCTGGGTAAGGCCATCTCCAATCCCAGATGTCAAGTTTAGAAAGTAACCTTGAGAGAATGAAGAATTTTTCTGTTATGTTTTCAAATAGCCAACCCTTTGATAAGATAGGTGCTAAGAAATGTTGAGGCTTGTGTATACTGTGGCTTATTTTGCCACAAAATTCACTGTTTAGAAAATGTTGATTTGTAGCTATTCTTCTTTCAGAAATTAAAAGGATCAATGACAGCCTTAACTATAACTATTGCATTTACCAGTTGGTTAAGAGACTTTTGACTTTTAAAATTAGCTTTGTCCATGCACTTATTTTTTTAGTAATATGAACACTTAGTTTGTGTTTAAGAGGCTTTAGTAGGCTGTAAAATTAGATACATATCCAGTAATATTGCTTTAAGGAATGGTGGGTGGGTTTTATTGTTTTTGGAAATATCATGTCATCTTTTACAAAATGTAGGCAGCATATGAATTGATAAAGAAAAAAGCAAAACATTACTCCAGCCTCACAATCCAGAATTGTCATTGATAAGTTAACATAAATCCAAATAGCTCTCTAAAGCCTATGTGAAGCTGGAAAAAGTTTTGGAGAAATATATTCATGCCATACATGTTGTTTTAAAATAAAAACCAGAAGTTGCAGCAGTTTGCTTGTTTCATGGAAGATAGAGTTTTCACTTTTTCTTTTACTTCAGTGGGTTTCGAGAAAAGTATTTCCTTAGTGATCAAGTTAGGGATCAATATAAAATATTTATAAATGGGCTCCTTTTATTCATGATTGACATATTTTCTATAGATTTTAAACTGAGTTCTGGATCAAGAATATCATACTGATACATCATTATTGAAAAGTGGCGTGGTATAGATATCTGTATATTAAATAAAGCTTCTAAATTTTCCCATATAGAATTTGTAACGTACTCTTGCTAACATTTATACTAAAATTTATACATTGCTGATAGCAAAGGTTTATTTAAAGCATTTTATGTATAAAGTCCAACTCCTTGAGAACTATTATAATCTATATTGACTTTATTTTTCATATTTCTGTTGCATATATAGTTTAAATCATACAAATGTGATTAAAGTACCAAAGAGAATGTCATCATTTTCCTATATTTTTTTTGTGCACTACATCTAGTATGACCTTTTTCTTAGATAAGTGAAATCATCTTCCCTGTTCTCTTCAGTCCCCAGTGTCACCAGCACTGTGGTGAGCACATAGAACTGGTGGCCAGTTGGACTGAGAATGAGGGCTTCTAGGCTCCTGGCAGACTTAGGCTCATTTCCTTGGATCCTGAGGGGTAAGTGAGGATGAGTGAGGGCAGGGCTTGGCACGTAGTAAGTGAGTTTATATGATATCTTTACGTAAATAGAAAAAGGTGCCTAGTCCTTAAGACACTTTATTTCCATCTGGCAGAAATTATTGTAATATTCTTATTTTGTTAGAGCAACACACTGTACTGCCATCTGCTGGAAAATTATCTTTATAAATATGCAAATCCATGACATGTAATAGGTGAACTGTGCCCCCTTGTATGTGCTGGGGCCCTTGTGTAGTACACGACCTGTACTACTATATGCACATGAGTGCTCAATAAATTGTATTTGCTACTCTTTTCACTTTTATAAATGGGGTTTGGAAGAAAATTCTAGATAAACAATGCTATTGTATGAAGAAATTCATTTAAAAAAAATCAAAGAGTCAAAGCCAATCTCAATAAAAAAGAATCAGCATTTTGTTACAAAACCTAGAAACATTTGTGCTCACTGCTTTCCTCACTTCCCTCTTCCCCCACAGAAAAGAATGTCCTATAATAAAACTTGCAATTTAAGTTAGCAGAGATACTAATTAAGCCATTATTATTGCATTTATAAACACTGGATGTGGGACCAAATCAGGGGATATTTTATGTATGCAAAAGCAAACATATTTTGGAATAACCCATATATCCTATTCATCTTGACTTTAAAAATTAGATCAAAAGTATTATTACAAGATGGCAGATCTCTGGAAAGCAACTTGGTTGGGATCCATTCACCTTTCTTCATCTCAGAAACTAGGCTGGGATATAACAGGTGACCCTCTCTTCTAGCCAGATAGTCCTTATTGAAGAGATGATTATAGTACCATTTTGCGCACAAAAGGAAAGATTTGACTCATTTTCATACCTGGCAGTTCAGTGATGGAGAAGACTGACCAAAGCTGGATAAGGGAGATTTTATTGATAATAGGAACACAATCTCAGGATACAGGATTTACCACTCTGGCAAGGACCCCAGGTGCTAGGATGGCTCTTGGAAGCTTGAAGGCAACAGCTCATGGTAAGTGAAGTGGAAATGCCACAACTGCCATGGCAGACTGGAAGAAGGTATCAGACGGCTCAGAGAGGTGGGCATGCTGGAGTGTGTACTCCATGTAGGGGTGGAAAACCCACCAGCTGTGTTCCAAAGGAAGTCCCAGAGGACACATTATTTACCAAAGCAATAAAGAATACATTGTTAAGAGGATAACAGTCACTGAGGCTCTCAGTGGAAGCTCTCTTTGGTATGCCAGTTTGACTGGAGGAGACACTGCTACAGAACGGGGCTCCTTAATAGAAAAAAGGATGATAGGATCCTGACATAGGTGAGGCCAGGAAGCAGTACTTAACTGTCAGAGCAAGGTGTGTATGATTATTGCAATGAGTGGAAAGATTGGTGTGGCATCCCAGGACCCAAGCCACAGAGAGCTAAGAAGATGGTTACAGAACTAATTCAATGCTCCTAGAGGCAAGGTAAAAGGGCAGTCAACAGGGGTAGCAATTAAGTAAAAATAAACCTGAGGCTAAGGGCAGCTGCCCTGGTAAAAAGTTACAGTCACTAGCCCAGTTTCTGGACCCGAGTCCGTTCTCACATCCGGGACCCCTTGTCTAAAGGAGAGGCTGATCTCCTTGAGGACAGAGCCTGGAGTGCCTTGGCAAGTGTGCTCAGTAGTTGTGTCCCCAGAACTTCAGAGTATTGTTCCAACCTCTTTACCAGGTGATAGAGCTCCGCAGCAGGTCTAGACAGCAGTGCAAGGAGCCCTGCCATATCTCTCGGTAGACCCCACCGCATCAGAGGGATATGTGGTGGGAAAGGGTTCCAGGGGAGTTATTGGTAATCCCAGTAGGAGAATCGCAGCATAGAGTTTTAGGATTCTGGAGCAGGGCCATACCATCTGTAGCAAACAACTAAATGCCATTGGAGAAGAAG